AAATTTTTTATAGATATATGCTTTAAAAATTTTTTCTACAAACCTATGTAATTAAAATCAATAAAAAAGTTTGAAAACAATAAAACTGCTACGTACTAAAAATTAAAGTTATCAGAAAAGTAGTACTAATTTGTTTCGGAGGCCAAGGATGACAATTAAGTTCAGTGACAATATCTATGTAGGTCTATCAAAGTTAATAGGTAAAAGGCATTTATTTGTTTTATATGGGGAACTGTAAAAATTGTTATACTATTACTGATGCTTTTGACGTCTAATAAATTTTGGTAACATTTTTTTTATTACATATAATTGAAAAGAAGAAATGAGCTATGAATTAAAAAAATAATGATTAAACCTGCCAACACTGAAGAAATAAAATAACGAAGATTTCACTAGCAAAATTGTTTAGGTTACAAGTAAAGTTTTGATACATCATGCATAATAACGTAAGGAAAAAAGGGTAATTCAAAATTGGAATTAATATAAGCACTCACATTTAGCGAAGTAAAAAATATGTATATAAATTTTAATCTAAAATTTTTTTAAAAAAAAATATTATTTATAGTTACTTAAACTATTTTATTTTATAACCGTCATTGAACAGTCGACCCAATTTCAGGTTTACGACTATGAATATTCGACTCCGTAGTCTCGTAATTTTGAACCCAATCCAGAAGATAAGTGAACTAACCCGTCTTTGCTATACATGGAGAGGAAAACCATGAAGACCTTCCATGGTTAGATTCACGGCAAGGGGACTCTAAAACTCATGATCCACTGATGATATTTTTAACCTCAGCACTCTAGTCGGTGAGAGCCGGGAGCAGAATTGTATCGACCAGTCATCGCTGGAATTCGAACCCTCATTGGAAGGTGAACACCCCTGAGCCATCACGGCTAGACTTAAACTATTAACACTCAACATACTGCAGTACTGGCAACATCTGTTGAGGAATAAGAAGTATTTTTGCCATCAGTGAATATTTTATCCCCAAAATTTTTATAAAGAATATCTTCAATAAATACGTAGAGATCTGATAATGTACGGGTAAACAGGAGATAGTCGTAAAATACAGGAGTATTCGTTAAAAAGTAGGAGGTTTGGCAGGTATGTATCTCTCTCTCTCTCTTAAAATCTTTTAAATAATTTTTTTGACTTTAAGAAAAGGGAAGGAAAAACTTTAAAAAGTATTTAGCAAACAATTTATGCAAATTAGAAATAACTTGAATGACATTGCTATTTGATTGCTTCTTTAAAAAATAAAGAGGGTTCTCACTCAATTTTAAGAAAACAATTCCATGACTTTTCAAGATATATCAGGTAATCCATATTGTATTTTATTTATACTACGCAATTTTTCATAAGAAAATGTCTTTACTTTACTTGTTTGGTCAAATATAACATTTTCTGAGCAAAAACATATCATGCCGGCCAACATTGGAAAAATAATAAAATGAAGAATTTACTAGTAAAAGTTTTTTGGGCTACGAGTAAAGTTTTGATACATCATGCGCATAATTATGTAAGTCAAAATTGTAAATAATTTACAATAATTACATTTAGGAAGTAAAATAAAATGTATATAAATCTTCATCTAAAGAAGATTTTTTAAACCATTATTTATAATTACTTAAACTGTAAACATTCAACATGACGTAGAACTGGCAATAGTACCATCTATTGAGGAATAAGAGAAGCATCTTTTTTCTCAGCAGATATTTTATCACCAAAATTTATTTAACAAATGCGGAGAAAATTGAGAATATACAAGTAAACAGGAGGAGATAGTAGTAAAATACAGAAGTTTTTGTTAATAAATGGGAGACTTGGCAGGTATGACAAATAATAGAATGAGAAGAATGGAAACATGGAAAAGTTTTGCTAAAAAGTGGAATTTGAAGAAATAATTGAATTGTAATAGATGTTGTAATTATTTAACGATAAGGGTAACAGTAGAATTAAAAGTCCGATACTGAAAACATAAATCAGCTTTATCAAATAATTTTTCCACGAAAGTGATTAACATCTAAAGTAATTTTTTTTTTTAAAAAGAAAACTCTTACTTTACATTTCCCAATTACCCTGTGGCAGAATTGTTTTGGGCTTTCTGCGACATGCCCCTCTAATACTAATATTTTTCTGCAAAATACTTTTAAAAATAACATGTTACTAAATTAAAAAAACAGAAGCGTCAATTTCAAAGAAAGAAAAAAACTTTTTTAATTGAATACTTAATATTTTTTTATTATTCTAATACTATGTAGATAGTCTTGCATTTTGTAGGGGGGGAAAAGACACGAATTATTTATTTTTCTCGGCTTTTGTAAATCCTCATCCCATTAAAAAAAATCATGACATCCGCAGCATTAACTACTGTTACAAAAGATCGACTTCAAAATCACGCAAATCAGATTCTTTAAAAAGGGGTTACTAAATTCATTTTTTAGATTCAGTTGTTGTAACAAATAATACAGAATTAAAAATATTTTATTTTTAAAACTCAATGAAATCAATAGTAATAATTGCATAAAAAAAGGACGAAAATTTCTGCAGAAAAGAAAATCAAAGATTTTAACTTCATTACTCTTTCATTATTCTCAAATGAGAACAGAAAAATCACTAATATTTCTTTTTTCACTCCAATGCGCAAGAAAGGCATTGTTTGACTATAATTCTGTGGAGTTAAGAAAATTCATTTGAAAATTTCTGAAGAAAAGAAAACCAAAGTTTTTTAACTTCCCAAAGGAAAAACTCTTTCTACAAGAAATCAGGAATGTTCTGCGACAATGTCACTGTGTCACCACGATTCTGCCACATATCAAATAAAATATACTTATTTTAAAAAAAGAATGTAAATGCATAAAATGAAGTTTACCAAACAAATGAGACACCGAACATTCTTATCTTGATCTTCAAGAGATTTGATCTTTTCTTTCAATGATGAAACCACTGGATCTGAATCAGTTAGACTTCTAGAACAAATAAAAATCTTTTAACATACAGAACAAAAAGGGAACCTTGATAATAGAGGTAAAAACAAAAATGTTTTCTTACTTTGATAACTCTGAGATTTCAGTATCTGAGTCTGTAAGAAAAATCCATGAAATAAGTATGATCTTATATCATAATAATAATTTTATTTAGAATATTATGAAATACTTTTAGGGAAAACACTGAAAGTACTTCATAATATTATTCTAAATATAACACTGAAGATAATAAAAGATTAAAACATTATGATATCAGAATTTATATATATTCTAAATTTGTTAAAAGCTTGCACTTCACTAGAAGGAAAAGCCAGCTAAAGTTTGTCTAAAGTAAGAACTCTCATAGCCATTTGGCGGTGACTATGGTAACGAGGTATAACTATTTCAAGTACTGTGGGGTCACTGTTTAAGACAGGGTAGTACTCGGTTCAGTGAAAGAAAGGGAATTTGTTTTCTATTGTGTTAGTCCTAGATTGAAGAGGAACTACCCTCCAGGAAATGTGCCATTTTCATTTCCATAGCAGCAGGCGGCCTCAGATTTTGAGTCAGGGGAGTTCTTATCATAGACAAACTATAGGTCACCATAACCTCAATCTAATAGCACTGTATTGAGAAGGCAACAGTAACTTATCGATGCCAACCCTCTCGAGGCTAAAAAATGTTGCTAAATGAAGAGACAAAATACTGCAGTAACTGCTAAACTACCTAACTTTAAAAATAAAAGTGTTAGGCTTGTATAAAAATAACAGAATACATGCCAACATTGGAGAAGATAAAAAATAACGGAGATTTTACAAATGACATTTTTTAGGGCAAAAAGAGAAATTCAAAATTGGAAATAATATAAGCATTTACATTCAGCGAAGTAATAAATATATGTATAAATCTTAATATAAAGAAGATTTTTTAAACCATTATTTATAATTACTTAAACTATTAACACTCAAACTACTGCAGAACTGGCAATAGCACTATTTGTTGATGAATAAGTGAAGTATTTTTGCCATCAACGGATATTTTATTACCAACTTTTTTTATTAAAATTTCTTCAGCAAATACGGAGAAATTTGAGAATATACAGGTATACTGTATATTCTCAAATGTCTCCATATTTGCTGAACCGTAAACAGGAGATAATCGTAAAATACTGGAGTTTTCGTTAAAAAACAGGAGACTTGACAGGTATGTAACAGGGAACCATACTTCCGGAGGTAGAAATTGAGAAAATAAAATATTACTGGTCTGTGGCTCAGTGACTAAAATATAGAACACATTTAATCAATCACAATTTATCAAATAATATCAATACACATTTTCCCTGGTCAGTGCCCTCTATTGCCCCCTTTTACCTATAAATGTTATCAAACTTATCTGTATCTAAGCACATAAACAAAAAATTAATGTAAGAACACAAAACTAATTACTTACCTGCTTTAGACCATTTATGACTTATCTCTAAATTTTGAGGACGTGCAGATGAATCTCTGGAAGAAAAAAAAATACAAACTTAATATTTTTGCAGGTAATGCATGATAGTTTTACTAACTCTTTCTTAAGCACACACGCTACTAACCCGAAATGCAACTTTTTTTCCAACCAAACTTCACAATGAAAACAATATTAGCACTATTATTTTAACTAACTAAAGTAATTTTATAACTTAATGCTATAAAATAATAAGAGTAAAAACTGGACATGTTTGCTATCATGACAAATTTCAAAGTCATTCTCAAAATGCTTATATTGTAGATACAAAAATTGAAAGGTTATAACGAGTTAAAAATTAGTAAGGACTAAATTTAAATTTTTTGTAAAAACACATTTTTCTGAAGCATGAGCAATATTTTACAAAAAGGGTTTATTTAATTTATTTCTGATATCAATACAAGAAAGCTAAAATCTAAGATTGTTTCCTTGTGAATAATTAAACCCCATATTTTTTGATGTTATTCTCCTTTGGGCAATTAATAATTAAAATTAGCAATTAATAATTAAAATTAGTGACACTTATTTAAATATTCAAGCAAGCAATAATCTGCACAAAAATTCTTTTTCAATAGGGACTTTTTTAAGGAAACTTACTCAATTTTAGGGAATTTTCTAAAATGCACAAAAACCAGGAGAATTTTTATTAAACCAGGAGAAACTGGCAAAATACTGATTGTAGCCTATTGGAAAATGCAATTGAGTTTGCAGCTATGTGCATAAAAAAATAATAATAACGCATGCAGAATTAGTAGCTGTAGTAATTTGTAGGGCACTGGGCCCATGTCCAAAAGATCGCAGGTCTGATTCCTGCTGGTAGAAGACACCCCGTGTAGTAAATGGCACATTAAATCCGTTAAGTCACAAAGCCCTCCATGTCCCCATAACAAATCACACCTCTGGGGATACTGATATAGGAGCTTCCTTGTCTTCTAGATTGGGTTTAAAAGTATAAGACTACGGAGTTGGACATCAGTAGACGCAAACCCAAAATTGGGTCGACTGATCAACTACGGTTTTAAAATATAAAATTAAATCAAGTGACAAGGAGGAGCAATCATACTCATGGTTTTAGACCATGAGTCACCATTAATTCTATGGATAAAGTTCTGCCCATAGCTAGCTCACTTCATTATTGAGTAATAACTTGTTCCGAAGCAAGCCGAGGAGAAATATTAAATCAATACGAATTTTTCATAAATTTAGATTTCATTTTGACTTGATTAAATTATTAAAAAAAGGACAGAATCTTGTACTAGTGTGCAGCAATATACCAACCTTATAAGGTACACTGAAATGATCAAAACATTTCTTGAAAAATAATAGTATAGCAAACATTGAAAATAAAGCATGTCAATATATACAAATAAAATAAAAGTAATAATTACACGGCCTTTCGAAGCTGTTCCAAATCTGATCTATCTTTTTCAGATGACGTGTTAGGAATCACATCAATTTCAGAATATCAAATTTCAATTAAGGAAACATTGTAATTAGAGAAGTATACAATAACATGCTGTGGAGCTACAGAACGAATTTATAATGTAACTTTTAACCAATGGTTATCAAACAAATAAGAGTTTGTCTTAAGTCCCATGCCATTCGTCTGGACCTGTGGCGGTGACTTTGGTAACGAGGTAAAACTATTTCAAGTAGGGGTGTGGGGTCACTGTTTAGGGTAAGTTTTGGCTCCAGTCAGCAAGAGAAATGAACTTTTTCTTCGGTCTATTGTGTTAGCTCTAGAGTGACGAGAAGCTACCCTCCCTGAAATGCGCTAGTCCTGTTTCCATAGCAGCAGAAAGCCTCAGACTTTGTGGCAAGGGGAGTTCTTACCATAGACAAACTAGAGGTATAGTATAAAATGTAAATTGTCACTTCTATTTGGTTAAAAAACCTTTTATCTGTTATCATACAAACATCATAAAAGCTTCCTTATAATATGATATACTTTTTTTTAATTGCAAATAGACTAGCTAAACTGTTTTTCAGCTAAATTTGTTGAGTTATTAGTACAAAATGATGCAGCAACAAACTGGGATTTGAAATCAAATATTCTGTCATTTGACTGGAAAATAAAAAACACCGGCTGGTCTAAAAACAAAATGAAGTATGAATTTTATAAAATTCTTTCACATTTTGCAAAAAAAAAAATTATTA